TTTTTTTTTACATTGTGTTGTGATGACTGAAGTCAAGACAGCCTACTTACAAGCCGAGCATTTTCCCAGCGGAGCCATCACCCCAACCAGTCTTGTAATTTCTAAAAACATTAGGCCTACGGTCTAGCCATCCTCCTATTTACTTGTTCAAGGGAAACAAAAACCTATGTCTTTTCAAGTTCTTGTGCACAAAGTTCACCATAATGCTGTATCAGTTAATAGTCAACAGTGCAGGTGGTGGAGGAACCTCAGCATCCACCACCAGGTGAACACGCAGTCAGACTGTAGTATTTCCATGCCAAAAGATGCCACCCAAGGATTGCTGCTGTTTGAGATTGTGGGTGTAGGGCAAACTCACGTTAATTGGAAAAAAAGAAAAAAAAAACCCAACCAAACAAAAAAAGCCTGTGCAAAGACAAATTGGTTTTCACTGTGTGGTTCAACCTGGAATGCCGAGGATTACAATGAGTCCCCAGTGATGAGTGCCGAGCAGCACCTGACAGGCTGGAAGCGGCCCAGCACAGGCACCGGCATTTCTGAGATGGAATTCCTCATTATGTCTGTGATAATACGTGCACATGTGCAGACAGAGACTGAAAAAGATCTATGCCCATTTCACATATTTCAATTCTATCTTTTAATAATGTTTAACAGAAAACTATGAACCGGGAAAAGTAATTTTTTTTTACTTATTTGTTGCGTGGGGGTGCATACCACGGTGTGCATGTAGAGGTCAAAGGACAACTTGTTGGAGTTGTTTCCCTCCTTCCGCCATGAAGGTCGTAGGATCAAACTCAGGTCCTCAGGCTGGGTAGCAGGCTCCTTTAACGGATTAGCCATTGTGCCAGCCACAAAGCAATGAATTTTTAGGCCAAATAATTCAGTTATGATCCAAATCCTAATTCTCTTTACCAAGCCAGCAAATATATTTTAATACAAAGCCCCTTCAACAGTTTCTCACTCCTCCCCATGGAACACCGAGAACTGGTGCTGTTCTTAATGCAATGTCACAGTCTTTCCAAAAGTAGGATTAAGGACTGATACATTTTATTCCATCATGAAAACAAACTACACATTTTACAGTAGGCAATTATTTTGTTGAGTGTGTATTACAGGATACATATTCAAGAGTAGAAACAATATCTAAATGAGTACTTTTTTCTGCTTTGGAAAGGGAGCTAAATTCATTTATTATTTTTTGCTGTTGATATTTGCTGGTGTTCCTTCCCAAATACTGAACTGAAAAACAAAATAAAGAAACAAAAACCACAACACTGGAAATCAAAACTGAGACTTTTTTCTGCATTAATTTGCTGGTAATAAAGAAAAGACTGTGCTTGTCCAACTATAAGAGCTTTACATCATGACTGAGCATGTACAGCACACATTTAGAGATCATTGCCCTAATATACAGAGGCCCCTGAACCTACACACACACACACCAAATGAGACACTTTCAGAAGTACACCAGCTAGTAGGTAAGCAAGACATCCAGGACACTGAGGCCAGCTCCCAGAGTTAGCCATGGCTCCTGTTCCTTTACCGAGAAGAATTTCAGGGCTAAGTGTAGGTCTCCAACTCAGTAATAAGGGATAATGCTAAAGGAAGCCCTCACAGTGTCTGTGAGAAGATGACAAGGGCTGTCCTGTTCTAGAAAAACTCAGGTGAGGTATCCTTTAGACAGTGAGGTCTTCTAGAACATGGGTAGTTCTAGCTCTGTGAAAACACCGATGCTTGCCTATATGGGAAACCTCAGAAAAATGAAGAGGAAGTGTTGGCAATGATGGAAGGGGTTCAAAGCCTGGACGAAGGATTTGGAACCTACAGATCCAAATGTATTACCCATCTACTGCAGAACCTTCTGTTAGCCATGTCTTAGCTGTTAGAGCCCAAGAATAACAGCATTTACTAGATTTAGTATCCCTTTAAAGTACTGTCACATGCTGCACGATGACATCATGCATTATGGAATGCATACTTGACAGTAGCCTCACAGATTATCTGGTGACATTCTTGACAGCTTAGTTATACTAAGTCCAAATGATAAAATTGCACAAGGACACATTTTCCAAGATGAGTACTTTTACTAAAACATGGGACTGCCGTTTTAAGTGGAAAAATGATATATTTGAACGTAGTTGTAAAAACAGCACAGACTGGTGCCACACCCTGGTCCCTCAGCTTCCTCCAGTAATATTGACACAATTGTAACACAGCATTGAAACCAAGAAGTCAAAAGTCAATGAATTATAATTAGTTGAACTATAAGAGTTCTATCTAACATTTAAAAACCAGACTAGGATATAGGAAAGTTTATATACAAGTCCTATTATGAATGTGTGTCAATATTATATGTGTGTGTGTGTGTGTGTGTGTGTGTGTGTGTGTGTATTACAAAGACTAATAAAATCCTAAAGATCAGCATAACCATATGATCAGGGCTCTAACACGAAGCAGAGCACTGCCAGCCTCTTCCTTGAGCTCCCTTCCTAGCCCATCTCCACAGGTTCTCTAACAGCACACACTACAGTTGCTGCACACTTAACGCAGTCTCTCTTTTGGACCTGTTTTCTTTTGATACAGCAAGAGCACTTGGTAGCTTTAGAAGAAGCACAGGTTAAAAATGTAAGACTGGAAACACCAAGGAATGTAAAGAGGGCTTTGCAGCTGGATATGAGATGACCAAGCTGACCTGACATGAAGAAGGACAGGAGCTGGGAAAACAGCAACGTTACTGTCACCAGGGGCACTGGCTTCCCCTCTCATGAGCCTCCACCAAGAAGCACACAGAGGTCAGCTTTCTGTATATCTTCGCTTCTAATGCAGCTATCTATAGCAGAGGAAATGGTATGATCAGCTTCTAAGAAGTCCCTATTTGTCCTAGAAATAAGACAGTCCCAGATCATCCTGCAGGCAGGGAGCTAAATATGAGGCAACCACGAACCACTGTAGGTATATCTTGATAGCCGTGGTAAGAGTTGACTCCCTGGAGACCGTAAAGGAAAATGGTCCATACTGGCATTGCAAGCTGGTCATGTAAACATGAGAAGACAGCATAGTTTAACTAATGTGTAGAAGACCTGGCCAAGGTCAGAGACCAGTGATGCCTGCAAGGTCAGTGAGCTGCAATGCTGGCAGGGGCTAACATAAGCTAACAGAGTTATCACCCTGATTGGGCAAGCAGCCCAGGTATAGCGTGTTATCATCTCCCTGGGTTGCACCAAGGGAACATGAACAGTTATGTGGGGCTCCCTAAGTGGCTTGGCCCATGACATACTCAGAGAATTAGCCAATTTTAACAGGAGTCATCTCACTCTTGCCCATTTTCTGCTATAAGCCCAAAGGCTCTAGGCCAGTAACTCAGTGGCTTTTCCTGTCTGAGGTTTCCAGAGTTTCCTCTAGTTCCCTCATAAAAACAAACAAACAAACGAAAACCATGTTCTCACTTTCTCTTAGTTGTCCTTAATAAAATTTGTTTCCGCTTTGCTTACTTCCATGTGTCTATTGTCTTTAGTAACACTGACAGACAATGAACTCAAGAGCGACTGACTCAGGTTGTCTTCTGGTGACTACTCAATGTCTGGCACCCTAGTTCCCCTGATCGCATACACCTGGGCTGAGACACTCCAGTGCTCCCAAAGATCTGCATCACTCTTCTTCAGTCTACTCTTGATGGACTCAAGTCATAGTAGAGTGCTATCCCCAGGCATTCTAGCATCTGTGCAAATAAGCTGTGATTTACCTATCTGCTCATTACTGGTGGCACCTGGGTAACTTTCAGCTTGGGACACTTATAAAAATGTTCCTAAGAGCATCAGAGTACATGTCTTTTGTTGCCAGCACACACTCTTCCACTGGGTGTGAAATTAAATTCGTGGCTCCTATGGTATTTGTGTAGTTTTATTGTACTTAGTTATCTAAAGTGTTGACTTGAGTTCCCATCAATGCACAGAAGTTACACGGCCCCACATCTCTTATAATCTACTGACTCTAATGGCTATTTACCACGTGTTTCAGAAAAGAACATTACAGAAGTATACATCAAACAGAATACTACTATCATCAAAACAGGAAGTTTTCTCTAAAATTCCAGGGTCTGCTCAAAGTATTTTGCAAAGCAATACAATCTGAAATTGCAAATCCGATCTTCAAGTATATTCCTCTCGAATTAACTAGGACACTCAGCCGCTGCTCCAGCTGTACGTGCCTGACACCACAAATCACGTGGGGGTACTTGCTGTAGACACACAACTAACTTAGTACACCTTCTCCTATGAGCCTGAGGGAGATCTTACCAGGCCTGGGAAACACTCTACATAGGAGTCTTTGGCATTAACATGTGTAAAACCAAATCCAAGCAGGAAGTAACTATAATGAGGGACTTTCTGGTAAATCCAAACCCTGGAACTTTCTTGATATTTTTTTGAGAGGATCTTAGTTTCTGGTTAATCTGAGGCCCAAGTGCTTTGTTTTGGAATTCTCAACAACACTGCAACTATCACAGCAGGCTGTATCCGATACACAGTACTTACCCTCAAAGGAAACTAAGTTTTTCTATTTACTGGGCTGCAACAGTTTGAAAGGACAGTGCTACACAAGAAGAGAATGAGAAGTGTCGTACTTTGAACATGAAGTGTTCCCATAAGTCTATGGTCTGCTGTTCCACAGCTGGCAGGACCATTTTTGGAGGCTCTGGAGCCTTCAGGGGTGGGGCCTGACCAGTGGAAGTAGATTACTAGGGACAGGCCTTTGAAAGTATAGGCTGGCCTCCAGTTCTGGCCTTGCTCTATGCTTCCTGGTTCTCTATCAAGTGCATAGTCTCAGCCACACATGACCACGGCCATGCCTTCCCCACCAGGTTGCAATCAATTCCTTTGCTCTCTGAGGCTGGTACTATGTTCACACTGAACAAAAGTAACTAACTCGAGAAGTGATGTCATAAAACCTGATTCCAAGCACAAGTGGAGCATTCTTTCAGCCAAGTTCCTCCTCTGTGATCTGTTCTACGATGCTGCATGGGGGTTCTAGAAATCAGGACACATGAAGGGGAAGACATAGAAGGAAAAGTGGCAAATCTATTTTGAACCTTGTAGGTTTCTCCCACTATTATGCACCTGATAAGGTTAGCAATTGTTTGGTAAAAATTTTCTAATTATCTGTACATTGGAATTCAACATCTGTAAGAGGAGGGAATTAAGAGGAAAAAAAACCAACCTGCAGAATTCCACATATTCACTTTCATCTTGGTTGTTGAAAACCAGAAGTTCCCTTACTTACAGCTAAAAGTGATTACAAACAGTAATTTGGAAAAATGTAGTAACAAGAAGTAACTGGAGGTAGCAGAACACTATAATTTAAAAATACAGTTGAACTCTTCCAAAACTAGAGAACATTGCTAAGGGCAATATACAAATGATTTTTTTTTAAACGCAGCACTAAAACCACTTGAAAAAGCCAACATTTCAATTTGGCCTTTCAGGCAGCTTTCTAACATCAACATATTAAGTAGTCAAATGGCATTTATTCTGGAGATCAAAATGTTTCAAGTATCATATTTCATTTGTAAAAATGCATATGAAAACCATTTTTATAAAAATAGATCTAATTCTGTGTACCCAAAAGAAGCCTACCATGTTTGGTCTATTAAGCTATGGAAAGCCTACTTAAAATGCTACCTGCCAATTACTACATATAAAAAGTAATTAAGAAACATTGGTGCTATGAGAAGTCTCCCCTGGCTCCCTGTGGTTTGGTCTTTCTAATCATAAAACTGGTGAAAAACTTTAGAAAACACTAGCACTTAGCTGGGGGAACAGAACAGTAAGACTTTTATTTAGAAGATAATTTGTAACTATAGGTTGGTGTCATCTATGCATTAAAAGTCGCCATAAAAATCTCAAGTAGGTAAGCTGAAGTAAAGAAGTAACCCATCAATAATCTGTGGAGTGTGGGGGAAATCCTTGAGTCTCTGGTACCCCTGTTCTATATGTGATGTCACTGTGTACCGCTCAGGGATGAGGATGGTCTAGAGGAGAAATGTTGAGAACGGTAACCAGCACCGTGCAAACTCCCTAAGCCATTAACAACCACTGCTAATGTCCCCAGAGAACCAGTGTGCACTAGAGGACTCACGGGGCACTGTCACACCATAATGCTGCGTGTCACTGATCAACAGCTTCCGCTTCAGCTCATTCAGGCCGACCCCAACGGGACCTGGAAAAGAAGGCAGAGGGATTGAGAACAAGGGTCTAATCCTTCATTCCAAGCAAGTGGTCTATTTCTAGCTAAGCTGTACACATTAAAAGAACTGGGTTTCTAGAGTTACTTCAGAATAATTTATATTCTAGAAAACTTAAAATAAAACATACTCAAGAATACCTTAGCTATTACCAAGTAATCCATATACAACAGCCTAAAATATATTCACCTACAATTCATACTGTACAGTCCTGAGTGATCACTTCATTTAAAAATATTTTTAGATTTCCATAAAAGAAAAATCATTGGCCTTGACTTAATTTTGGATACAAATTCAATTATGCATTTTAAATGTGCAAGCCATGTTCATGCTGAGCTCTGTCATGACATCCTACCCTACAGAATTTCAGACAGTCCTAAGCATCTGAAAGCTGCCACAGGCCTTACACATTTAAATCAACCAAATGCACAGACACAGAACATATGATGAGCAAGGCAAATGGCATGTGCTGTGTCCAAGAAAGATGGCAGATACACATCGCATTTAATGAAAATGACTAGTCAGTGAAGATATGAGGGCTAAATAAAAACCACCCAAAGGGTGGTTGTGAACACTAGCCTGATATCAAAAGTCATAAAGATATCAGACTCAGGGTTGGCATTCCTTCCCCATCTTAAAGCTCAGACAGCTTGTGGTTAGGTCTATGGATGAACTGTAGAGAGAAGTAGACAGAGCACCTACCTGAGGCCAGCCTGCCCTGAGATAGGTCCCCACTTGCTCCTATCTAAACCTCTCCTCCTATGACACCAGAGAAGGTGACCCTGCCCCAGTAAGGTCAAGTACACCCTCAGTCTGAGTCACAAAGCTCCCTTTCTTGGGAGAAGGGTCGAGAACTCAGTACAGTACAGGAATACAGACTTTGCATTCCTTTATCTCCCCTTTCTCGTCATCTGTGGGCCAGAAGGATCCCAGGGAAAGGATAGTGATGGACTTACAGGCACACAGAGCTGAGGCCAGCCAAGCGGGCACTGTGAGTGAAGGGAAGCAAAGGGGCAGGACTGGGGACCATGCTTTCCTTCCCTAGTGGCACTTCTAGCCCCCCGCTCCCCATCCCACTACTGCCTCCTACCTTCCCTTCATGGTTGTCCGGAGCCTGTTTCTCCATCAATGCCCCTTTGTTCTCTAAGACTCCATGAGAACTCAATGATATGCTCAAGTGGTGCTCACTGTTACTATAACTTACTAGGACATACAGTTCCCCTCTCCAGATTAATAGGCTTCCCTAGCAATAACATAACAAAGAAAAAAAAGGAATGTAATTTATGACAATATAACTTGCATTTCAGTATATATGCACTTAGCATGACCAGAAGAAAAACTTGCAACAAAGTCAGATGACTGCACCCACTTAGGAGTTCAGATTTAAGGGCTCAAGAGCCATCGTGTACAAACAAGAACTGAAACAAGGCCCCTGGGTATAGACAGACACCATAATTTGGGTAAAAACCATGACCAGGTTTACCGGAACATGAAGTGTCATGGATCTGCTACTGATGTGTTCTCCCTAAAGCTATGTTAAAAGCCTGGATGGCAGCTGATGTGACTGGATCATAAGGACTCCACTTGATCAATGGCTGAATGGTGGAGCCAAGTGAGAAGGCATACCTTGACCTTGGAGCCCTTCTCAGTTTCTCTCTTCTTCTTGGTCACCATGCTATGAGTAGCATCCTCCCCAGCACCCCCAATGCCCTTCCTCTCTGGCACTTCCACATTGCCAGGAGCCCCAAAGCAATGGAGTCAGCGGACCACGGCTAGACCCTCTGAAACCATGAGCTCAGATCAACCTTTACTCCTTTTAAGCTGCCTGCTCAGGTGTTTTGCTGTAGTGACAAAGGTGTCTGTCATAATGAGAAAGAGGGAGGCAACCTTCACTGACAGGAGGACAGCAGGTCAAGTCAATCAAAGTGAAATAATACAGATGACCAGGCTTGATCTAAGGGCAGCATGAGAACGTGAACCCAAGTGACGGAAGTGTATACAAGACCACAGAAGGCTGGCTTCTAGCCCTCCCCTAACTTTGGGTTATGTACCAAGTTCATGGGTTTCCTACACTTTCCCACTTCAAAGGACCTACCCCACTAATTACACATGCTTGCTTACTTGCCTTGATCCTCTAACAGACTGTGAGGTCCGTGAATACAAAGACATCTCCTGCCTCACTCACCTACTATTTCCACAGCTGGCAAATTATAGGCACTTAGGTGTCTGTTTCGTGTTACTGGAGCAAGAGCCCAGGGTCTCACATATGCCAGGCAGGTGTGCTCCCAGTGTGGCACATCCTTAGGGCCCAAATCATTTGTTTACATTTCACGCAATGTGTGCTATCATGGGGGTAAAACGGGAGTGAACTACAGGCATGGGAGTTGAGGTTAAAAGGCATTTGCACCTAGGTCACCTGGATGTGGTGGTCAGGTCATACATTCAAGGACACGTCCTAAATGTGACTTTTAATCTTCAGCAAAAGCAGTGAGTTATGAAGGGAGTTTTAGGAAGGAACTTTAGTTCCCTGTATCCTGCCAAGGTTCACAATTCACTAAGGAGGAGAGAGCTGAGATTCCTGTGTGAATGTCCACAAGGCAAAACCTGACTAGGAAGACAGATCTCTATGGCGAGTGGCAAGCAGACAGGCACTTACTGACGGAGTGACTGAAACCACAGGGAGGCTATGTATTCTATAAGGCACAAAAATATATAGAATATAATCTTGAAAAAAAAAGGAAATTAGTGTTTCAATGGAATACCATTGTGTGTATCTTCCGTGTACAGATGAAGTGAACCAAGTTACGTATGCCCCCAAAGGACGCCAAATACTAGAACATAGAGGGCCCTGCTCCAGGAAAGAAGATGGTGGGAAACCCGTGTTTTTTCATAGGTCTCAGTCCTGAAGCTCTTCCTAGAATGAGAGACTCTTTGAGGAGAAACAGAACTCTTTTTATTTCATGCACTGCCCAAATCACAAGCAAACAAACTCAGAACACACACACACACACCTCAGCCTCCAAAACCAATGATTTATTTTAGCTCAGGAGAAAAAACTAGGTGTCTGGCTTGGTAGGGAATGCTATGCCAAGCCCAGGATGTCACTCTTCAATTCTGGTCACATTCACTTTCAGTCCCGTGTGACAACTATGGACCTCACCCTCACAAACCAATCCTAGCCACCCAGTCATGAAGTTACACTCACTCACACCAGGAATGACTAGAGGAAAGGATTTTGTCTGAATCTCCTGAGATTTAGATTATTCTAGATCATAATCTGCAACAGTAGACATAGTCTCATGAAAAACCCCAAGGATAGAATTTCAAATCACTTATAAAACTGCTCATCGGACGCACGCAAGGCAGCTCCCTTGTAGGGCTCCTGCTCATTTTGCACCCGTGTGGGGAAGAATGCCAGCCTCTTATTGACTCCAAAAAACAAAAACAGAAACAGAAACCCACATTCACACCTGCACCATATAACCCCCATTCATGAGGAGGGTGAAATCACATCACTTTTAGTTGGCTTCTTTATATTTAGAACACATGATCTATGTGCAGACAATGTAGTGATATGAACAGATTAACTCATACATGTGCCTCTGCTAAGAAGATTCACTCTGCTCTTCAGTACATGAACCTTTACCATACAGTGAAGTGCAGTCATATGACGTTATAGTTTGTTCCCAGTGGTTCTTGTTAATGATAAAGTGGATCAAGGTTTATGCTCAAGATCTTCAGTTCACAGAACTGGTTTGATGGACACTTTAATAGGAAAGGCCTTCATGTGGCAGGCATCTGTTACACAGGCCATTAGGAACCTTTAAAACATCTCCCAAAGTGTCACTATCCTCACTTTACAGAGGAGAAAGCTAAGATAATGAGAGGCCAGGTCTTTTTCTAAAGGGTACACTTGAATATGGCTCCCAGGTTATTCCAAAGCTCCGGTGACTGACAAGTCTACATTTCTCTACACTGCCTACACTCTTACAAAACAATGTAGATGAAACACAAAGTCAGGCTCTGCGCTGCCTATGGCGAAGGCTTCCAATGTCCTGGGCTTGTTTACTCCTTCCTAGTGCCCATACTTTCAATGGTGATTGTCTATCCTTGTGGCTAAGAAAACTGGTATCAATAAAATCTGCTGATCTCTCAACACACATTCTGAAGATACTCTAAGACACTCTAGGAAGGCTAAAATAACCCTATGTGTATACCAAAACTGAGCAACTTGGATGCATCTATTGCAATATTTTTCATTTACAATCACAGAAAATCAAACACAATGATATGCACAAGGGAAAGCCCCCAAGCTCGCTGAATTAACTTTACCTTATTAATTTGGAACTGAAATGGTAAACTAAGGTTGATTGTCTTTCTCTTTTTAAAAAGAAAAAGTGCTCATGGTCAAGCCAGGAATGCCATTCTGCAGCTGATTCTTAATAGAAACAGTCTCTCGTAGGGGAAGGAGGGAGGTTCACAGGACTTGGGTTTGTCATGAAACTGAGAAGCCCCAGGAAGCCAAGAAAGTTGTGTAATTCACAGGCCCCCCGTCAGGGTCACACAGCAGGAGCACATAACTCCACCAGGAGAAGAACCTTGTGTAGGGAGCTCCAGGGGATGCAACTCTTAAGTCACTGTCCATGCTGGGCCTGCCAGTGACGCAGCTGACCCGGAATCACCCATGCCCTTGTAAGTAACCCCAACAAGTCCGTTGGTTTGATGTGCTAGACTTGTATGGAGCTGTTTCTTTGGTGTGTTGTCAATGTCCTACTTGGGGTGAATAGATGTTCATGTCACCCCAGGAAAACTTACAGAACAAATGTAAATTAATTATATGCTTCATTTAAAAAACATTCTGTAGGGCTTAGGATGGAACTCAGTGGTGGATCACTAGCCTAGTATGCTTAATGCACCAAATTCAGTTCCCATATACTGAGCAAACAAATGGGTTGGAGAGACTGCTCAGCAGTTAAGAGCACTGGATGGACTTCCGGAGGACCTGGGTTTGTCTCAGCACCCACATGGTAGCTCACAACCATTTGTAACTCTTCTTCTAGCCTCTGAAGACACTGTATACAGGTAGTACACAGACATATATGCAGGCAAAAACACTCACACACATACAAATAAATCTATCTAGCCAAAATTTTTTAAAATGCATTTTATAAAAACTTAGAAAATCATATTGGGAAGAAGAAAAGGCACTATGTACATTAGACCCACATTAGAAATCTTTGGAAAAACATACTTAATTATTCTACCTTAATGAAAACAGGCAAAAAAGTGATTTTGTTTTAAAAAGCTAATTCATTTTAGCCAAAGAAATGCTGACCCGTACAGTATCAATAAAATGATAGAAAAAGTCCTCCCCTAATTTTTTGTGTTCATTTGTTTTCCAAGACAGGGTCTTATTGTGTAATCCAGTTGGCTTTGGCCTCAAGATCCTCCTGAGGCCCCTGAAAGCTAAGACTATTGAAGATGAATGTGTAAGAATGCCCCATGAATGTGACACCTCTTCTCTGATGGCCCTCAAGTCTGTACACCTCATGCTTCACCACCCTGGCTTCAGGTTTTCATCTTTTTCTTTCATAAACATGCTCAAGGATTTTTCATTTCTGGTTCATTGTTTTGAGGCTCTCACTGTGCAGCCTGAACTGGTCTCAAACTTGTGATCTGGCTCCTCTGCTTCTAGAGTTCTGGGTACATAGGCATTGGCATCATACCTGGCTCGTATGCTTATCACCTGTAATGGTCATTGCATATGGCTCATTTTGTATCTGAATGTTAGCATAGTACACATTCAAAACTAACTCATGGTTGACATGGTTTTCACTCTGCAACAGGGTCTCAAGAAAGATCTATATTGTGAATCAGAAACAGTCACATCCAGCAAAAAAAAAAAAAAAAATGCTAAAGGAATAAAGAATCAAGATAGGTCATGATGCCAGAGCCCGGAGTGATGCTGTGAAAACAGATAAAGTATCCTGCAAGAATGCACCAGCAATATGTTCTCATCGGAGCACAGAACTGCAAGACTACACCTTCATCATTCACTGCACACTGGGGTTTCAACTGTCTCCTTATTTATGTGGCAGTGCTATTTCAGAATGAATATTTATGATAAAGATGATTGATGTACTTTTATGGTGCAAATAGTTTTTATTGCAATTAGTGAAATATGGTATACATATATATATATACACATATGTCTCACAGTCTAAGGAAGAACACAAGATGCACAGAATATTAGCATAGTGTTTCTTTGTGTGTGAGAGAGAGACAGAGACAGAGACAGAGACAGAGAGAACCCAGAGGTTGATGCGAGCATCCTTTTCAATCACTTTCCACTTTATTTTTCGAGGCAGGGTCTCTCACTGAACCCAGAGCTTCCAATCTTGCTAGTGTAACTACTCAGCTACCCCAGGGATCCCCCATCTCTGCTTCAAGTGCTAGATTATAGGAGAACCACCAAGTCCACCCAGCTTTTAGGTGAGTGCTGGGGATCTGAACTTCAGCTCTCAAGCTTAGCAAGTGCTTTATCCACCAAGCATCCCCCAGCCCCTGCGTATAGTGTTTCTTAATGCTGATGAGTATCAGATTGAATTTAATAATTTAAATATAGGTGGTGCCTTACAGATGAAAGACTTAGCATATTAACAATCTATTAGCAAAGTAACTAAACAGAGAAAGATAAGTCAACAGGGACGGACAAACTACACATGCAGCCACTCCAGTAACACATTCGTGATAAAAATCCTTCTTGTTTATACATACTTCTTTTTAATATTTGGATTTACGTCCAATATTAAGTGGAATATTGGAAGGACATGTGTTGCTCTGACCAAGCGCTATTTATGTTTTCTCCTGCTCTTTGTACATCTTGGGACAAGCCAAAAACGGTCTATTACACAGAGAGTTACTGGCATGGATGTGGCTTCTATGATGTATCCAAACCCAGAGTACTTACTCTGCTTCACACAAAAATTCTTCCGTATTTCCCTACAGACATTTTTTATCGTACTTGGCCAGACTTGTTATTCTTTATTATCCAGAGAAAAATACCAGAATTACTGGAGTCTGCCATAGGACCCAAACTGCATTGTTACTTGAAAAAAAAAAAAAAGACACCACGCTCACTCATTTGATTTACTGCAAGATAAATCCAACCAACCCCCTAGGTATCTCTTGGATCAGACACATGCTATAAAGTGTCTACTTATCATATTGTAGCAATGCTCTTTTATTGCTCTCGGCATAAAATAAAAACAGCCATGCTATTACATTTGATCCGTGTCCATGGGATGGTCGTGTTAGTGGGTGGCTGCAGTTCTGCGCTGGAGAATGACAAATCAAACTCCACAAAGTTGAGCTGCGTTCACGGAGATTCAAGTCAGAACTCACTTCCTCTGTCACTTTCATGAGAGAAGAGTGTTCTCAATGAGGCAACAACTCATAAAACAAATGCCAAAACATGACATGAAAACAGAGGAGAAGAAGAAAACAGAACATTTGCTGCAAAAATGTCAGTCTAAAGCAGATGTGTGGACCCACCTAAGTTCTCGTCCCCCTTCCTTGCCAGCTGGGACAAGAACACAATACAACTGAAAGGTCAATGGTGACTTCCTTCCTTCCTAACCCTTCTCAAGGTGACCTTTCACTGGGGATAACAGGATCTCACTCAAAATCCACTCTGTTCTCGTCCCATACTCAAAATTCCCTTAACCAGCACCACATGTCACCCACTACGGAGCACTCACCACCTCCAGTAGCTACACAAATGGCCATATCCATCAGCACCATCATTTTGTTACTATGAATAGATTTTCGGTTCATCTTCTCCCATTGGACTATAGATAGCTCAAGGACAAATGCTCCTGTTGTAACCTAGAGAGGCTGGTGCTCAGACGGCGCCTGCTTACTAAAAACCAGTTCAATGAAAAGAACTGTGTCTTATGCCAGAAACGAATCCCAAGTATAAATATTTAAAATAGACTATAGGCATAAAAAGCCAACTGTGATTCTCATAAAGATCATATTTGTCTCCTCTACATGGGATTATAATTTTAAACCCACCACACACTCATAAATTTGATTGTGACTTTTGGTTTTAGAGTATCTCTACAGACGCTTCCAGAGCAGACCCTACGAGGTTTCAAGGTTTCAAGTACAGTTCCATAAGAGCAGCAGGGATGCTAGCGTTCACAGTTGGTTCTGAACGTGATTTTCTAGTCTGCTTTATGTGCCACGGCCGTCGTTCTGTGGGAAATCGATGATACTCTTACAAATGCCCATTTAGTCAAAGCACCTCTGCACAGCAGGCCTTGGGCAACATGTATGCTTCAGCCCAAAGGAGGACCAAATAGTATGTAATGCTCACGTTGTAAATGGGAAATATACAGAGATTTATTGTTAGTTTCCTCCCGATGCCGAATAACCAGACAGAACAAGTCACAGATTGTCTGAATATCCACAAGATGAATTTTTGCCCTCATTTTGGCTTAAGCCACAAAAAGGGCTTTCGTGGCTTTTCAGCACCACAACTCTGCTCCTCCCACAAGCCCATATACATCATTTAACTTTATTACTTCACTTCTGAAAGAGATCAATTTTTACTAAAGATGAAATACAATACATTGGATAGGACAATGTGCTAAGTGCCCCAGCATTCGGTCTAACACTTTTTAAGAAATATTTTTAAACGTAGGAAGGAATCTAACAGAACCATCACTGAGGTATCAGTGACTAAAATATGGCCCAGGAATAACACGCTTACACAAAGAAGAGAGAATCAAGTATTTCTGATCAAGTCTCACAGTTCTCAGATGCCGTAGTTTTGAATGGCACCTACTTGCTTTATTCTGATGTCTTCAACACAGGGTCTAAGATTACTGCACCCTAACACTATTGAGAGAAAATACCGTTTCTCCCCAGTGCTACTGACCTAACACTCTCTAGGCTCAGGTTGTCACTCTCCATGGCTTTGACAACATGGGTTAGAGTAAAAGAAGTAAAAAAATAAATACTCTCTCATTCCATCCTCCTGCACATGTCAAGGAAGTCAAGGAAATATGCCTTCAGCATGCAACCATGAAAGAAAACAGTTAACTCACAACAAGGTACAATTTCCAAAGCATACATCCAATACCCACGTGATTCTGTCAGATGGTCAGCTGCTACATAATCTAACTTAACATCAATCCAAATGCCCAGGCTCCAAATCAGTAGGAATCTAAGACTAGAACACTTCATGCTTATTTTAAAAAGATTTCAGATAATCTATACAAGAACAGCGTTTTACTCAGACCATAGTAGCAGCTGCCAGGAGCAGGTCTCAGTCTTTGCTAGATTAGCAAAGTTCTTAGTGTCTCTGCATCTCAGATGGGGAAACTGAGGCAGAATGTTGGGGGTGCTCCCAGAGACTCCTTTCTTCTCTTTTTCGCTCTCTGTTGCTGAGATGAGCACTTCTTCTCCACCAAATACTCCTGCCATGGTGTGCTGCTGTCTCTCACAGGCCCAAAGCCATATGATCACTTGAGATTAATTTATATTTCAGATGTAGCATACAGCAGAAGTCATTGTACACAGTGTTTTGGGGTGCCTTGCCAGGATGATAATCTGTTACCTGGGGACAGCTGTGAGCTTCTCCACTTGTGGCATTATCTTGGTAATGAAGATTGTGAACCAAAACGAACCTTTTATCTCTATTAGCTAACGCTCTCAAGTATTTGGCTTTGCTGACAGAGGCTAACATGATATCCTTCTGCTGGTTCATCCTCTCCTAAGGTAAGCCCAAGGTGGTGTACTCTGTGTAATGGATGTACAAGCTCCCTCTGCTTGTACATCCTGAAGGAGCCCAGGAGTTGGCTATTTCTTTTCCACAACCATCAACCATCTTCAGGACCCTCCACACCTTGACTTTCTTTGTTCTTCTGTGGCTTCCATTCATGATACACTCAACTGTCTACTGTCCCTCAGCCCGGCAGAGAGGGCTTCATGGTCAGTGCTTAGAGGAGAATAAAAACAGCAAAGTTTCTTCTTCCTCCGTTTGTCCCCATGGGAAAGACCAAAGCTACAACAGCAAGATCACTCCATGGCGCACGTGGAAGGAAGGAAGCCAGGAAGGACAGCGCCATACTGCTCCTCCCCTTTCAGCACAGCACATGGTTCCTGGGGCTGAGGAGGAGAGGTGATGGGAATGGAAGGATGTGTATTAGCAGGGAGGAGAAACAGCAGGGACAGTGGGCCAGGAGATGGAGGCTAAGAGGCCTTAAGGAGCCTCCTTTCAGGACCAAAGGATCCAGCCAGACCTCTGGGTGTTATATGGACTGGAATCTGGAGTGTTTGAGCACTTGTGGGAAACAGTAACATGTATGAAACTCTCCATGGAGGTGTGGCCGTGGCTACCAAAAGGTAGGCCTCACTGAGCAAGGAAAATTTGAATCTCCTTTGAAGTTTGCAATCGTGTGTTTCTGAACAATGCAAATAATTTCAATATCTGCCAGGTTAGTGATCAACTCCAGTGCCATTTGGTGTGAGAAAACCATAGCCCTCCCTCCAAATCAACCAGTCTCAATTAACATGTAACAAACTTACAGAGGATCTCTCCTTACTAAAGTGGCTGATTCCTCACCCTTCCATTTATTCTCATTGCCCAAACTGTCGTCCTAAGTTTACAATGTAAGAATTAACAAGAGACACTATGCTCCTCTACCCCCAAAGTTTTGCAAAACCATTGGCTTCAATCCTGGAAGCTGACATAGCTCTCACCACATTTTAAAAGAAACAAGGGAAGGGAAGGGGGTGGTGGAGGAACATAAGATCACGGTGGGTCATGTCCGTGAAGGCTGGACAAGACACTGGCTAGAAGGTTAATGTGAGTCAAACCAACCCCAGGAGAAATGATCCGCCCGAACCTCACATTGTACAGTATTGGGGACGGAAGCCAATGCTAGGCGGTACCCTACT